ATTACAGGTTAAAGTTGAATTACCTGGTTATGGAGTGAATATAGATTTAGAAGACAGAGTCTTATTTTTTTCCTCTATATACATAACCACCTCTTCTATACTATAAATAAAAGCATAGTTTTGAGAAACAATAACACTTTTTGAGATTTTTATAACCAAAGATTATATTTCAATGTAAAATACCAATAAAAAAGAATTAGTAGTTTTATATACTTAGCCTATATTCCCCAAAGTTCACGTCTATAGACTGAATATTTGTCCCCCCCCAAATTCATATGTTGAAATCCTATCCCCCAAGGTGATGGTGAGATAGGAGGCCTACTTCCTGCTGTTGAGTTAGTCATAAAGGTCAGCTGCTGGAGCCTGATAAATTTTCCAGGAATATTATATTACCCATCAACAGTGTTATGTTCATTTTGACATGGTTGCTGATTGGATAATATTGACCACCAGCAGTTGTGAAAGAAATATTGCTAATAGGACCTGGGCTTAACATAAACATCTTTTCTGAGCCCCCCAAATCTTCAGAAACAAAAAGAATCTTTACCTAAAAGTTCTTTTAAATAATTTTTAAAGGTACAATAAATGTAAGATTACCGGGTCAAAATAAAGTTCTTTTGACTTTGCTTATTGGTTTTATATATTTATTTATTTATTTTTGCCATTCAGAAGCATTACATTTTTATGTAGGTAAATTTATCAATCACCCTTCAGGGCTTACGGATTTAGGGTCATGGTTGGCAGGGCCCTTTCTACTTACTTACCTTATTTGAGTATTTTTGAGGATTGTTTTTTAATATTTAAATCTTTGCTCCATATGAATTTACTTGGCATAATATGTATTTAGTATAGAATTTTTACTTTTTTAGTCAAATCTATATGTCTTTTCTCATATGATTTCTGGATTTGGTATCATGAGGTCTGTCTTCTTTTTTCTTTTTTTTTTTGTAAAGATTTTTGAATTTGGGCATGGGAAAAGTGCTGGGGAATTGGGGAAAGGGGAACAGAAAAGTTGCTGTCCTTTTGTTCTTCGGTCTAGTTGTGGAGGACGTTGCTTCACTGACCCAAGTTGGCACCATCATTGCACTCTTCCTGGGCAAGGCAGATCAGTCGCCAGCTTCTGGACGGCTGCTCACAGTGGCTGCTGGCTACACACAGTAGCCCATGGCAACCCACTGCAGCAGAGGCTGCAGCCTAGGCGATCACCAGCGACTCATGGCAGCACAGCTCCAGGTTGAGCTGTTGTTCAGCATCTTAGCTGTAGAGGGCGGTGTCACTGGCCCTCATATGTGGGATCTGAACCGGGGCCCTCTGGCGTCCCAAGCCAGCTCTTAACCAAGGTGCCACTCGGCTGGCCCAAGGTCTGTTTTCTTAGAATAACATTTCTTGGAGGCAATGTGGACAGTGGGCTGGAGTGGGACACACCCAGGTAGCAGGCAAGAAACCCCATCTGAAGAAGTCTCTGAGGGGAAAGACCATTATTTTTCATTTCAGCTCAACTCAATTAATATTTACTGAGAAGCTATTCTGTTGCAGATTCTGTGTTAAGTGCTGGAGACACAAAGATGAGGAAGACAGACACATCTCTGTTCTCTTTATTTGGGGGTGACAAATACAGAAACAGAATTACAACTTTGTGTGGTAAGTATAATGAGAAAAAGGTGTAAAAGCCAACCAGTGCATATTAGAAGGGCACCTCATCCAGCCTGGAAGGGAGGAGGATGTCTGAGAAGGCTTCCTGGAGAAGGTGAAGCCTGAGATGAGTTTTTCCCCCCATTTGAATATTTGGAATATTAGAGTAAGGCAAGTTGATAAAGCATCTGAAATCATCTTCCAATTAAAATAACTCTTGCTTCGCAAATTTACTTGGCTTGTTTGACACAATGAACAGCATATTACCTGCTAAGATATGCATGTTTAATGTCATTGAAAGAAAGAACTGGGACGAGAAGCCACATTAATCAACAATTGAATAAAACTCCCAGACCAAGGGTGAGAGGCCCTCAGGGCAGGGAGAGACATCCTGGTGCAGTGACAACAGGCGAGGGCTCTATCGTATTTCCACTCTCCCGACACAGCTCAAAGCAGTTCACTATTTCTGAAACCCAAACTAGAAAGCATGGAACCTGAACACAGGAGGCTGGAGAGGCAGTCAGAGTCGGATATTAAAGGGCCTTATACCTTATGTAAAGGATAGGAGATGAAAACCACTGAAGTGCTTTCAGTTGGGAAGTGTCAGATCTTACAAAAGGACTTGGAAATTATCAGCCTGTAGGTGGTAGGGAAGCATAAGTGGATGAGATTGCCCAGGGATACCAGGTTGCAGAGGACTTACACTTTGGGGGGATTCTCCATCCCTTTGAGAATGGGATGAAAGTTCTGTTTCTCCAGGAAAATGCGCATATTAAAAATCACACAAATATGGGGAATGGAGTCAATGGATTTGTAATAGATATGTTTGATATGGGGGGAGGGCGTGGGGGGGGTCGGTGGATTGGGGGAGGGGGTTGTCACTTTGTGAGGGGTGAAAAGTATAACTATTGTATTGTTTTGTACACCTGAAACTAATAAAAAAAACCCCACACAAATATATACACAATTTCAGGGGACCCTCAGATTAAGAATATTTGATGTAGAAGGGAAAGAGAAGAGGCATGAGGAATAGGATATTTGACGGATGGCAAGAGGATGAGGAAAGCAGGAAAGGGGCTCATATGACACAGATGTTGAAATTATCTATCTGCCTCCCAGGCAGCCTTCTTTGTCTCCAGGCTCTAGTAACCACCCTATCCTCTGGCCCTTCCCCTAAAGTGGTAATAACCAACTGTTACCAGTGCCAAGGTACTGTAATATTCCTTATGATTGCACTATGTTATTTCTACACCTTTATAAATATCCCATAGAATTAAAATTCTACTCAGGTTATCCAGTTTGAGTGTACTATCTACTTCCTGCAGAATCCCTGACTTATGTATGGTTTTCTTGGAAAGATGAATAAAATAGACAAACTGGAAAGAAAAGAAAAGGGGGATAAAACATAAATAATGTTAGAAATAAAAAGGGGGACAAAATACAGATATAGCATGGATTTTTAAAATTGCCTTATACTATGAATAACTTTGTCAATAAATTTGAACTTATAAGAAATGGGCACGGGCCAGCCAAGTGGCGCGGTGGTTAAGAGCTGGCTTGGGACGCCACAGGGCCCCGGTTCGGATCCCACATATGAGGGCCAGTGACACTGCCCTCTACAGCTAAGATGCTGAACAACAGTTCAACCTGGAGCTGGGCTGCCCTGAG